AAACAAAATGAAGTGTCTACATCTCCCAAGACAAATCCTCTGCCAATCCCTCCTTAGGAATGAAGGCATGCTGAGACAACAAGCAATTCACTTTTTCTATTAAAAATACTTTCATTGCTACTCTTTAGGTGGTAAGTGTACAAGTTGGAATTGGCACAGGGTGCCCAGAGAAGCTGTGGCTGTCCCATCCCTGGCAGTGTCCAAGGCCAGGTTGGACAGGGCTTGGAGCAGCCTGGGATAGGGGAAGGTGTCCCTGCCCACGGTAGAGGAGTGAAATTGATGATCTTTGATATCCATTCCAACCCAAACCATTCCATGGCTCCACGATTCCATGATTCTATGAACTACAGGGCAGATTTTATCTGCAATGACAGGGACTCGGGAAGCTTAGAATTTTCTATTCCTCCCCCTGCTGAGGTTCAAGGCTTCATCTGTGACTTCATCAACTTTCAGAGCATTGCTCCACTTGGAACAGGTTTTGTATTTTTAAACCAGAAAGCCAGAATAGTAAAAGATCACATTTTTCACATGAGTTTGAAGCAGGGCACATTAGTATGTTGAACACTCATGTCTGGAGCTACAGTTTCTATAGTTACTCATGCATCAGTGTTTCACTGAACTACTGCAATATTCATTCTACAGCAGCTCTGCTTCCCCCTCACTAGGAGGAGAGGTTTGTAAGAGAATTTGTGGTGGGTTCCTCCCTTTGTGTGCACTTTTAGGTTTCACAGGACTCTGTTAACTGACAGAGTGTTACTTGATAATGAAGCAGGCGAGATGTAACACCTCTGAAAATTAGAATTTAATGTGAGATTCTCTCTTCTGTGTATCTCTAGGAAATTGGTTCCTGGCTGGAGAAGACATGCAGCACCTCATTAGAAGGAGCAGAATGTCTCATTTTCCTCTTCTAAAATTGCTGCTTGCAGGTCAATATGAAAACTTGAGGGAAGACAAGAAAATTCTGGTGTTTATTCTGTTCCAGAGAAAATTACTTAGCAAGAGAAAATACCAGCCCATTCTTCTTCCTCAAATTCCCTGGAACTGTGTGATGGAAGGCCAGCTCTGCTCCCTTGGCAGAGCCACAGCCACCCCTCACACCTCCTGGCCACCCTCACATTTGCTGGGTTGAGGTTGCCCTGGCTGGTAAAACACACACATTTCCCTTAACCTAGCACTCCTCTTTTTTTCTGTTTGATTTTAAAGCAAGTTAGATAAATTATTAATGATGAGCCTAACCCAGAGACCACTGGGCTCAGTATAAGGTTTACCATGGAGTTCCACCTGGGTCAGAGCACCTGCGCTCCAAACCAAACATCCTTTTAACTTCAGGAGAACCCAGTCAGCGTGTCTCAGAGTGAGGTGAAAGGATCAGGCTGATAGCAACCCCAGTTATAACATCTGAAGAAAAAAAATCAAAATATAAAAACTTCCCTTTGAATGATAGCTCAGAGCCCTCCATCCCTGCTTGGGAAGGGAACACTTCAAATAAGAATTTACCAGCTTTTGTAGAAATAATACAGCTGCTCTGTTTGAACCCTCACCTGTTGCATGGCTTTCTGCTTACAAATTGTACACTTTCCCTGGAATAATGTATCACTAGATACCACAATTTTAATTTTGGACCTTATTTGGATCTCATAAAACGTATTTGTGGTTTTGCTGTTGCAAAGCTGGATTCCATCGCAGGGACTGGATTTTTCTGTCCTCTCCATCCAGCACCAGGAACCTGTCAGAGCACAGGGAGCTGCTGGCCATGGCACCGTGCTCCATTGCCATCTAGTGGCCCTTCCCCAGTGCCAGCTGGCCCTGCACGAAGCCCTGACCCACGGCCACGAGCAGGGGCTGACCCTTGGAGAAAGAGAGGTGTTCTTCCTTTTGCTGAAATCACATCACGCCACTCACCTTCTGTTTGTTTGGCTGGTGATTCTTTTTCCTTCCTGTGTTGTATCAAGCTAAGCATGGACAGGGAATTGTAGGGGTTTGCTCCCATTCCTGTCTCTGGCACCAGGGCAGGAGAGCTGCAGGGATGGGGCAGGGGAAGATGAAGGATGCAGCTCTGGGACAGGGAGGAACCAAAGCTGTAGGAGAGCCCACGGCAGCAGCAGAAGGCTTGGAGGCTCTGCAGAACCATCTGTGTGTCACTCAAAGCTTTTATTTACTGGCATTTCAAAACCTCCAGGAAGCTTCCAAACAATCTCCTCAGCAGAGAGGAATGGCTCATTGACTGCCTGGGATGCTGCTCAGAGTAAATAACATCCAGCTCCTGCTGCCTGCCCTCCTCCGGGCGCTCATTCGTGTCACTTCCCGCGGCTCCGCTCGGCACCAAGCATGGTCTGTTTGCACTCCCAGCCCTGAGCAAACCACGGGTGACACCAACTTCTGACCCTTCCTCACCCACTGCAGGGCTGGCACGCACTCCATGGCTTCAACAGCGTCGGTCTGTGGATGAAGAAGGGAAATGATTCTTGCTCCCCAGCAACCACAAACTTCTTTTTGCCTTCAAAAGCGACAATCCTCGGTCTCAGGAGGAGAGGGTAAGCCAGCAGGAGACACCAACTCACAGGGCCTTGATGTCACCTGGACCTCCTGTAGCCAGGAGGGGCTTTATTAATGCTACAAATGAAGCACAAACCTGAGTTCTAACCTTCCTCCTCGGAGATGCCACGATGGCCTTGCAGCAAATGCCACCATGGATACACCCCTGCCAAGAACTGCAGCTGGGAAAGGGTGACAAGTGATGAAAAACACACACACAAGCACCTGTGAAAGAGTGGTTATATTTCTATGCTTTTATGGCAATATAATACTTCATATCAGACTGGAAAACATACTTCCAAATATTTTAAATGACCTGTACACCTAAACAGCCTAAACAGGGATGCCATGCTGCTGTTTACTAAAATCCTTGAATTACCAGTCCCACAGCAACATAATAAATGCCCAGAATCCCAGGAGCTTTGGTTTAGCTCTGGAAACAACACACTCAGGTAAAGCTCATTTTATAAACACTAAAATTGCATTGCAATATCCGTATATATATATATATATATATACATATATATACATACATATATATACATATATATACATACATATATATACATATATATATATAAAGAAAAACTTAAAACTTTCATAAATACATCATAGATAAAATAAGCTCCCAAAATACATTCATGCATTTCCCCATCTAAGATCCCTGCTTGTACCCCAAGTGTTCCACTTGCTGGGAAGGGCACGGCCAGGAGACAGGCTCGTGTTTGCAGGTGGCTCCAAACCCAGGTGAAGGTGTTGGGGCAGTGTTGGGGTTAAATCCTGCATCAATGGGTCTAGTCCTGCCCCCCTAGAAAAACAGGGTTCTCCTGCACACTGTGCCCCATCAAAGCTGCACCAGCTGTCCTTCCACAACAGCCAAAAGCCACCATCCATCTTGCCCTGATCACTTTTAGTTTTTCCAGCAGTTACTAGAGATAGAAACAAAATCATAGAATGGTTTGGGTTAAAGATAATTTTGGTTCAATCCCCTGCTGTGGGCAGAGACATCTTCAGATAGACAGGTTTGCTCAAAACCCCACCCAAGCTGGCACTGAGCACTTCCAGGGATGGGGCAGGGCGTGCACAGTCTGTCCCAGCACTCGACAGGGGCTGGGAAAAAAGGGCTTTGGAAGCAGGGAGGTCACCCTCTGGCTTTGGTGGAAGGGGATCTGTGAATGGAAGAAGCTGCTTTCCTCCACTGACCTGAATATCAACTACACTCCCAGCAGCACCATCCCTGCCTGCAACAGGAACACTCTGAGAGCCAGTCCTTTGCTAATGAAAGAAGCAAATGCCCATCCTCTGTCCATTTGTGAAAGCATAAATGCACAAAAGATACAGAAACATCTACAAAGTAATTGTGAGCTGGCACGAAGGAAGTGCCAGTGATGCAGGTCTGTCCTGTGAACATGGAACCAGGCAGGGTCCAGGGGCTCCCTCTGCCTCCCCTGGGCATGCAGCTGGACCATGTAGCTGTGCAAACACCGGCACACCAAGCACTGGCCTGGCCTCATCTGCACTGAGAGGGAAGCCAGACCCACACAAGCCCCAATTCCACTTCTGCCCCTCAGAAAGGGTCTGATCAATATTGCAAGAGCACATTCAAAGCTCATTTTGGGAATGCTGCCCTCTCTCCTTGCAAGCAGTTACAAGCCAGCATCCCCTTCCCACAAGGCAGACACATCCCTCAGGCTACTGGTCTAGAGACAAACTAAATTCACTCCAACCTTTCTGTTCACCCAAACCCACTGTCTTTACAGAACAACCCAAGATAAACATTGCATAGCTCTGCATCTCACCTCTTCCCACGCCCAGCAAACAGCAAGAAGTTCAAGTTTTGCACAGTACATTACAAAAGGTGTCGCTTTTAAACAACACAAATAAAAAAACCGAAGTGTCACCACGGTGTAAGCCCTGCAATGAGTGAGGCAGTGAGTGTACAGTGCTTGGCAGCTCTGGGAATGGCTGCCTGTAGTGTACTGATGGATTTGCTAATCCAATCTCCTCTCCCAGTAAGAGGAACTTGCATAATGAGAGAAGCTGCTCCTCAACAGAGCAGTGTGCTGATTCTGTGTGCCATGGGAAGGAGGAGGACACTGCCAGGGCTGTCTGCTTTGCATGCAGCAGTTCAAGGGCCAGCTGACCCCTTTGCAGTGCAGACTGCAGAACGGCAGTGCTCCTCCCCAGCTTGGAAATCCCAACAGGAGGTTTGCTACAGTTGGCTTTACAATTGAGATATTCAATACAATTAGCCCAGATCCTCTGGTGGTTTAAACCCCACATGCTCCATTGGAGTTACCAGTGATTACTTCCACGAGTGGAGAACGTGGTCCTGGCTTGTCACAGACACAGAATAAAGCTACAGTAGCCCTTTCTTTAAATAAAATTAAATAACTGCACGTGGCACCAGTACACAACTTTAAATGTGCTTCTGCTGTTAAGAAAATAGCAAAGCACACCAGCGGTTACTTAAATTATTTATCTTCAACTAAAAAAAAAGAATAAAAATTTAAAATATTACTGTTGATTTAAAAACCCCTTGGGATGCTGCATAATGGTATCTCATGGTATTTCTGAGGCTGAAAAAGTCACTTGCATGTGGGCAGCACTATATATCCTCTTCAGCTGGCAGTGAAGGCTTGTGCTCCTGGAGGTCACTGGTGCCATTTTCGGATGCATCCAAGCTGCCTGGAGCTGACTCTGCAGGTGGGGGTTTGTAGAGTAAACAGGCCACTATAAAGAAGGTTGTCCCGAGGACCTGCAGGCATGGAGACACCCCGTTATTGTCTGCTCTCCCCCAAAACCAGGAGCCCACCCCACATCTGCCATGAACTTTGCTGACCAAGCTTTGGGGAGGAGGAGATGTTGGCCAGCCTGGGAAGCAGAGCAGCACACAGAGCTAGAGGGGGTAAAAATATGAATTTAGCCAGCCCCATAGCAATGGGAATTTGGAAAAGTTCAGCCCCACACAGACACCTGGAGCACAGTGCTGCATGAGCCAACACTGCCTCAGCCTTTTGCTGGAAACCTTCTGAAAACCTCTTTATCACAGCAGCTGCTAAACACTGCTGTCTAGGGCAAGTGCTTGTTTGAAAGCAGTTAAAATGATGTTTTTCTGCTAATAAATAAAGCCCACAGCTCTAAGCTCTCTTATTTTTTAGCAGTGACTGGGGAATGGTTATTTACAGCCTGTCCACAATGCCATCCCTCACTCTCACTAATATACTGCACTTGGATATTTTACTCCATTTCCAGCAAAAATCACTTTGGTTGCTGTTGGAAGGAGGTATTTCATATAGTGCAATAGAAGTTGTAATCCTAGAAAATAATGGGAATTTAACAGAATGATGGTGTCTGGAGCACCATTACCTGATGAGAAACAAACGGTGCTTTTGCCTTCCCTGAGAAATTTCTTGTATGAAAATGTAATTTTGTCTGGGGGTGGGCCAGATCAGGGCAACCTAATTTTGAAAAATTCTTTCCCGGAGCAAAACGTTATGTCCTAAAAACCTGGCTGCTTTACCAGGGAGTGGAGCTAAGCAGCAGCATCACCTTGTAGACCAGTCCAGCGACGAGGGTGTATCGGCTCATGGCTGAGTTCTGGTAAACGTAGCAGGAGCCCTGCTCACCACACTGGTCCTGCCAGAGCAGGCAGGATTTATCAACCATGGAGCCAAAGGCAATGGGGCCAGGGATGCCTCCTGTGGGCACAGAGAAGGCACCTTCAGTTTGGCAGCACCTTGCAGAAAAGCAACAAGTTCTGGTGATATCATGATTAAGAGAACTCATCCTGCAGCATCCAGAGCCACCAGGTATCAAAAATATGCTGGATTTCAAGATCTGGGAGTGCAGCAGGTCTTTTGGGCATCCTGACCTACATGTTGCACAAGAGCCAAAAGACACTCACAGGAGCTTCAACACCTCTGCTCCTTTTCCTCAAAATTAGGGCACATTGGTAGGACATTGAGCCTCTGTCAGCAGTGACGTGTTACAGGACCTTGCATCAAGTTTGCAAATCACATGCAAAGGAATTGCTGGATGACAGCAAAAGAAAGCAAGCATCCTCCTTTTCAGCAGTGTGTGTCCTACTCCCTTCTTCTCCAACCAGAGTGTGTTTTACTCTTGGTGACAGCTTGGCACACGCCTCCCAGAACCACCAGACCATTGTGGTGTGCAAATTCCCTCTGCTCCATACCTAAGGTTCGTACCACAATCCACTGGATCCCGAGTGCAAAGGACCTTTGCCTATCAGAGACACACCTGGGGAAGAAAAGGTTTTGCTTAAAAATGCTGCCAGGCTGCACCTCCTCCCTGCTTCCCAACTCCAGGTCCTCAAGCCCAGCACACCTGGGGCATCCAGCACACCTGGGACCTCCATCCCTCTGGAGATTTAGGATCACCCCAGTGCAATGTCTCTCCACCCCTGATGTAAATGTGTGTATACCACGTCAGAGGACAAAGCTCCCAATGCTGAAATTTCCCAGCTAGACTGGGACAGGAACTAGTCCTGATGTCTCCAGACTGCCACTAACTCAGTGGTTCCCATCACACCTTCCCATGCCTGATCCAGCAGGATGAAGCAGGCAGGAGGATGTTGAGGCTTCTTGCAGTGCTGGCAGAGGACGAGGCCATCCAATGCTTACCTGAGAGTGGCAGTCAGGGCAGGAATGCTGCTCAGGAAGGTGAAGAGGATGACCACGAACATGAAGCACAGGAGTAAAGGCTTTTTGGCACAGGAGGAGGTGCATTTCCCTGCCTCTGCTTTGCCAGAGCCAGAGAGGAGGCCTTTGTCAACACAGCTACACTCTTGGTAGACCTGGGAAAGAAAGGCTGGTGGGGGCTCTGCCGAGGAGAGCGTGGTGACAGTCAAAGCTTCAAAAATGAGAAATTCAGGAAGGGCAGAAAGCAGCTGGTTAGACTCCCAGAATGAAGTAGAAATCAAGCTGCTTTTTTGACACATTTCTGTTTCCAAACAGGTCAATCAAGCAAGGGAAGTTAACTGTACCAGGCAGCTGAGTATCACCTCTACCCTCCCTAAGCCTTTGCCTGACTCCATGAGCAACATGCTGGAAGGATGAGGAAGTGCATCATGCTCATTCAAGACCCAAAATGAGCACTAGGAGAGAAATCAGAGGCTTACCAAGCTCCCTGCCTGCCTGGGTGATTTTCCATGGATTTCAGCACAGTTTGACCCAGAATGAGGCAAAGACAATTGGACATAAGGAGAGAAGCAAAGCAGGGTGACCTCAGAGTACCTTCTGCCTTCATCTCACGTGGTACCTGAGAGCATCCACCCTGCCCTGGCTGGTTTTACATGATTTACAGCAAAGCTCAAACCTTTTGCAGAGCCAGCCAAATCACTCCAGAGATGTGCCACCACCCTGTTCATGCACATGCTCATGACTTTAGACCTACCTTCTTGCCATTCCTGAGGTTTGCAGACACACTTCTGCAGCCAGCATGGCAGGGGGAGTAGTACATGATGCCATCAGTGCCACAGACAGGGCTATAGGTGTCCTGCAAACAGCCACACTGGGCATTGCAGGCTGCTGTCAGGTTAAGGTGCCCACCTGGCAAAGCACTGAGGGAAACACAGGAGCAGTCAGTGAGCAGCACTTTACAGGAGGAAAAGGGGAGAGGAAGGGACAGTGGGAGTTGTGACAGACCACCAAGGAGCATAAAGCCAGGTTTGGGAAGGCTTTCATCCCACCAAATTTTAAACATGTCCTGGAGCTGTCTCTCCCACAGCCACCAAGGGAGTTTAAGTGACCAGCTCTTAGGGTGACACTTCCATTCAGAGAGGAGATTCCCACTTTTGGTCCAGTTTATCCCACTGGATAGAGATGAGGGCTGCTGCAAAGGCAGCTGAAGTGTGGAGTATTTCTCACTCTGGTGCTGCTGATCTTCCCTCCCTTACTAACTGGGGAGCCTCTTCCATAAACTTCATCTCACTGCAAAACTTAGGACATCTATTTTCTGTGTCTCACCCTCTGCCTGTAGGACTGACCAGACACCAACTTTCACCCCCAAAACATGCACACATGACTGCCACCAGCACTGTGTGTTTGAGTTATCCTGCTCTGAGCAGAGCCCCTCAGGACAGACAGGCACACAGGGTGGCTGTTGTTACCTTCCATCATACATCTGGGTTACTCCTGCCATGGGCATGTTAGGGCAGTGGATAAAAAAAATGAATATGGCCAGCAGACTTGACACTGTGCAAAACAAACACAACTTGATGATTCCTGAGCAGCGCAGTTTAAATTTATTCACGAGGAATCCTCCCAGGAATGTGCCTCCCCCTCCAGCTGGCACAACCAGATAACCTGAAAAAGAAGAGGAAAAAACTCACAAGTGAGTTTAGAAATGTCAGCAAGGAGTTTTCAGGTTTAAATACATTAATTGCAGTATGTTTTGCATATAAATGACTCCTTGCTTTCTGTGTGGCTTCTTGGGGGGAGCTCAATGGTTGTTGCTGTAGTGGGGAGTCCTCTCTAACAGCTCAGGTAATGTGGCATGAGCCTGTAAAGGCAACTTTCCCTACCCAGAGATCTTAAAAGTGACTCTTTGAGGAGCACATCATGAGTGCTGATGCTTGCTGGACACCATCCCTTGGTCTGTGTTACAGCACTTAGGTGAGGCTCTTCCCAGTTTCTGGATACTGACAAAATATCCCCTCGAGCTCTGACACCCCTCCTAGAGGAAACCTTTGGCCAGTGTTTCCTGAGGATGCTCTAGGAGGAGTTACAATTATTTTGCCTTCCTCTAGAGGGTAACAGATGGCTACAGAAGTGACACATTTCCTCCTGATGTCAGTAGATGCAGCTCTGGAAATGCACAGGGTGTAGGTGTGCTGATAGGAAATGATCCCATCTAACAGCTGAAGGGGATAACCAGTCCATAATTAAACTGCAAAGCATCTGTCTCCATTCTAAACAAGCTAAAAGTGCTCTTCTATTTGTTGGCAAAATAGGAAAACATTGCAAAAACATGCTTTCCTTACCAAAAAAGGTGGCAGCTTCAGAGGCACTTAAACTAAACTGAGACTCCAGGAATTTGGGTCCAAACGTGGACATCCCTGCAATCAGGGTGGCTTCAGTTGCTCCTGCTAAGCAGAGGAAGATGAAGGTGGGGTTCTTCAGAAGTAGCAGCACTGACCTGGGAAGGACAAATATATTGGAATTGAATCACTGATTTCAGGCACATTTTGATTTCAGGTCTTCTAAGTCAGAAGGATCACATGTAAGATGAGGCAGCATCCCATCATCCTGCAACTCTTTGAAAGGAAAAACACCAAAAGGAAGCTAATTGGGGTTTGAGGGAGCTTTACCAGTCAGCGACACAGAGTGTATGTGTGTGATGGAGCTCACACTAAGGGCACCCACAACTTCTACATGGATGATCTCAGCAGTAATTTTCCAGCATTTAGGGTCAGGCTGAGTACTTTGTCTGTTTAACTGGGGCAATACTGAGAGGATATTACTCCCCACCAAATCTCCATTATTTCCAAGTTTTATTAGTGCCTGTTGGCAGGTATCTTGGGACTCCCCCCTCAACCAAGAGCAAATTTGTGCTACATCCTCACATACACACGTTACTTGTGCACCCACACTCTCAGAACAATAACAACCTCTGATAACCATAGCTGTTTGGAACTCAGGGGAAATACCAAGCAAGCCTTTCTATATGGAAGAAACACCTCCAAGACACCTGAAAAACAGAAAGCAATCTTTCTGCCACAGCCTAAGCCCAGTTTTACTTGAAGCTTAACGTATAAATTTAGTAACTCCATTTAACTTTGACCCACTGGGATTTAGGAAAGAGCTGCAGATATGCCTGAGAAATTGCCATGTGTCATTTATATGCAGATCCAGCAACAATTCCATCCCTGAGATGCAGAAAAGGCCCTCAGGCACAAGGAATGGTCTCAATTATCTCTCACTATCTCGGATATTGGACTGAGAGGACTGACATTGCTTTGCAGGGGATGTTTTGTAACCAGCTTCAAATTCTGCCCCATGACTTCCCCCTAGCCAAGCCCAGGCCAGTGCCATGGGTTATCCCATTTCTGGGATGGGCACAAATCCTGCAAGAGCAATACCATGGGATGCTCACTGAGCAGAAAGGCACAGTCACCACCTCCTGCTCTGGTGGAAATGTGAAATCACAGAAAAGCTGCCTTGGTACAAGCAAGGGAGAGACGTGCTGAGGCTCAGAGTCAGATTTATGCAACTTTACTCACATGAACTAGAGAATTTCATTATACCAAAAGAACAAAGAAGCTGAAAGACAGAAATACCACACATTCCTACACTTTGATTACAGGGGGCTTTACACTGCCTAGCTCTTGGGATTAGTTTAATGTACTATTTTATTTTCCAGATCTTTTTGACTGTGCTTAATTTAGAAGCATAAAGCCTAATATTTTAGTGAGAAAATGCTTGTAGAGCTGGTAGCTGAGGGAGAAAATGGACGGTGCCTTCACCTTTTTACAGAGAAGAGTTACTCCCTGGCATTAGTGTGACTTTGTACCCTCTGCCCAAAAGTTACAGGCTGCACTTGCAAGTAGAAATAGGCAAAGGAACTCCTTTCAGCACTAAGAATAAGGATTTACTTACTTAATTTAATCTGTCTGAAGACAGAAGATGTAGTTGTGAGAAGCTATGGCACACAAAACCTTACCAAAGACAGCATAAATGGTTTTATTACATCAATAGGACTTTGAACACACCCAGAAATCACCTAACTGCTGAATAGCCTTGGCAGTGCTCAGCTGTTGCAGCCAAAGGGATTTCAGGAGCCCCAGCACTGCAGAAAAGGATCCCACCACCCAAAAAAGCTGACCCTCCAAGGCTTTACTGATACAGGCACATACAGGAACTCTTTCTCACATAATGGTTCTCTGAGTAGGTCGGTGCCACCTGCATGATCAGAGCCTGCTCCTGTGAGCACAGTGTGCCCAGAACACCCCAGATAAATGGATATTTCTGCAATATCACAGCATGGGAATGGGGGCTTTTCCAGCACAAAATGACACCCACTGCCACCAGCATCCACAGAACAGAGGGCACCATGTGCATCCCACAGGAACATAAACCAACCTCCCTTTGTTTCATTTCATGGCTTTTCCAAGTCCCACCCTGCACCTAATCAGGAGTGATCAGTGAAATACTGACCACAGCTGCTCATGCTGAAGATCAGGGCTTGCCAGGTCTGGGGGTGATCCTCACAAACTCCACCCTGCAGCTTGCAGGGACAAAGCCTCCTCTTGGTACAGCTCTACATGCCTTCCCTTTGGGTCCCTCTGCTCTGACAGGAGGGGTTACTCCATGAGAGCAATCATATGGAAGCAGAGAAAGGAAAATGCTGTTTTATCAGGCCTTTTCAACCCAAGAGTTAATACAGAAGTGTCTCCAGGGCAGAGGATTAGGCTGTATGGGCTGCATTCCTGTAAGCTCCTGCTCTCAGGCAGCACTGTGCACACAGCAACTCATGAACCTCATTTAGAAAGGGCCTGATGGCATGGAACAGTATTTTATTTATCAGTATTTCTGCTTATCTTTGTGAGACTGTTACTGCCTGTACTGTGAAAAATTGTGTGACACACAGCCCCTGACCACCACAAAAGGAACAGGGAGTATCCTTTGGCCTCATCCTCCAGCCTGGCCCACGTGTCCCCAGGAGCTGCCTGCACAGATGGGATCTCCTCTTTAATGCAAGTTTCCAGAGCAGAAAGCTTTGAAGGCACTTCCCTTTCATTAATCAAAACCAGGGACCACAAAAGTCTGTTGGGTTCCTGCTTTCAAACCACACTGAGGTCTGGACTGGTCTGAATTGCTTGATACAAGTTCCCTTTGGGTATTTGTGATTCAGGTGTGAAAGATGCTCCTGGAGGAGGATTGTCTCTATTCCTGCTGTCAGACAGCAGAAACAGTGGGAGCTTTGTTCCAGACAAGCAAGAAAAGCAACAGCCACTGAGATTCATTCCTCTCTGCTGCCCTGTTTGTGTTGGTTTTAGTCACAGACTTATCGTTATTTAAATGCAGGTTTTGAATTCAATTTCCGTGAGGAAAACGAGCCATGACCTCGGAAAATGGCACCCAGTCAAGAATGCCATTTAATAACAGCATTGAAATCTGTTCAATGTAATATTCCCCATAAAACTGCCTTAACCCCTGGTAAACTTCCTACGAAGTCTCCAAGAATTTCAGATGGGTGTGAGCTGACACAATACACTTGACTGGCTCTGAAAATTCCTGTTCTGAGCACCTGCTTCCATCCTCCTCTGCCAGCACAACAAAGACCACAGCTAATGCTCAGGAGTGATTGCTGGCAGCAGCCTGGGGTTTAGCAACATCTTTGCAGGGAGCAGCCATCACACATGGATAGAATCTCCTCCTTAAAAACAGGCATGGGAGAAATAATTAAAAAAAAAAAAACAACAAAAAAAATGGAGGATCTCCTTACTGACTGCAAGCTCCAAAAGGAATCAATATCCAGGTATCTCTGCAACATCCAGAGCCTCCATGCCAGCTAACTCCAAGCAAGAAATAAAGCAGCACCTTTCCCCCTGCCCTCCATTTCAATACAACTCAACACATTAAAAAAAAACAAACCATAAAATATTTCAAAATCCATAACAAAAATACATGGTTAAAAATCACATTTTATTTTGGCTTCTGCTTTGTTCCCATCACAGAGCCGAGCAGCAGCTCAAGATTAAGCAAGTTGCTGTGTCACTGCCTTGCTGGAGAGATAAGAAGTAGTAATAGATAAAATGTGGCTGGAAGATGTGAAGGCAAAAGAAAAAAAAAGGAAACCAAGAATAAAAGAGAAAAGGAACTGAAAGTTACAGTGTGGTATATTTTGTTCCCTGGGTTTAGAATGGAGCTGTGAGGATCACAGGGCCTGTTTCATCTTGTTTCTCATTAAAAATGACAAACCAGGGATCTAACCCAAGTAAAAATAGAGGAAAGGAATAAAGCCCCAAGGGGCTGGGGAGGAGGAGCTGTTGGAAACATGCAACTGGGCCAGGTGAGGCCAGGCAGAAGCAGACAGGCAGAAATAATGCTGCTGGGGAGAGGGAGGGAGCTGGAATGCCTGGGCATCTCCCATCTCCTAAAGCTTGGCATCAAGCCACTCTCAGCAAAACTCAGTGTGTGGCACAGGACTGCAGGTGGACACGAGCTTCTGAAAACCCAGATGGGACCAGCCACTTGTGTCCTGCTCCCCTGTGTGATCCTCAGCACCAGCTCTAGCTCAGTCTCCCTGCCAAGAGCTCCCAGACCTGGACAGGATCAGGCACCTCCTCTGCAGGAAAGTGTCACTGCTTGAAGAAGGGCACCTTTGAGCTGCCAGGGCTGGGGAAGCTCAGCTTGGGCTCATTGCTCTCTCTCCCCTCTGCACAGGGCTCCCTCAGCTCTGTGTGGGGTGGTTTTCTCACCCAGGCAGATCTTTCACCGTTTTCCCAAAGTCTGGATCCGAGGCTTTCCTGTGGCTCCCATCCTTCAGCTGATGAGCCTCTGACACCCTCATGACGATGTAGCGCTGGGATCCTGCAAGTGAGAGGCAAAGGGAACGAGGAGATGTCAAGCACAGGGCGTGGATGCTGCTGCAGCCGTGGATTTGCAGGGGGAAAACACAAGGTGACATACTCCCTCCACCAACAGCTGCAAGGGAGAAGCACTAACAGAGGCAGATGGAAAGCCCAAGGGGTGAAATCCATTTAGGAATTACAACTGAAGCACAGGAAGCTGTTCCTTTGCCCCCACATCCCAGCTACACATGTGCAGGAGGATGGAAGCCCAAGTGTGAGAATCCAGAGCTTCCCTCTGGCTGCCCTGGCAGGTCTGGGACCCTGGCAGGGGTCAGGAACCCCCCTGGACAGAGCCCCCAGAGACACTGCCTGTGATCTCTGTCCATGGAAAAGAGTTCAGTCTTACAGGATGAATTACCAGCTCTGAGTGTTTGATAGAAGTAATAATTATGTGTGGCACGGGTGCAAAAGTAAAATTTTAGGATTCTAGATTAGGGGTCCAAAGGGGACAAGATGGAGGAAATTGGGTGTGCCTTGTCCTTTTTCTCCTTCTTCATGCCCTCCATGTCTCACTGTGGTGTTGGCATTTTTCTGTTGGTTCAGGCTGGGGACACACTGTCCA